TTTTTTTTTTTTTTTTTTTTTTTTTTTTTTTTTTTAGGGGGAAATAGAGCAGCTCTGTACTGAATCCTGCCGTTCACGTACGTGCTTGTGCTTTGTGAGTTGAGGATTTAACAGCAAGTTCATCCGGCTTCACTGAAGGAGCAACCAGCAGATAAAACACTACCACATAAAAACCCTTCCGGATTTTGTGTACTCCAGCTATAGTATGATATAAGGGCCAGCCTGAAAGGTATAATGAAGCTTAATTAACACAAAGCACATTTCCACATATTCTGTTCACAGAAGGAAGTTGCTCCATAACCTGATCAAAGCTTCCTGTTCTGAAGGCAAGTAAACAGCCATTTGAATTTCAAATGTCAGCATTTCATCACAGGGGTTGTTTTGCAACCTCACTAAATTAAAGAATTAAGTTGTCAGCCGGCTGAAATTGGTTCAAAGGGCTGCTCAGGAAATGGGCTGCATGACGAGGGATACACTCAGCCTGTAGCAAACATGACGCACTAGCAGTCACCAACACTTGCTAAATTTCTGAATAACATCTTTTTCCAGCGTTGCTAACTGCCTTCTGCTCTTCCCAGCTTTTCCTCACAGCCACAGACGACAGGACTAGCTCTACGGCCTATTCCAGGCTCTGCCATAAATGCTTCCATGCCACCCCAGGGAAGGGGGTCGGTCAGATGCGCTGTTATCTCTGTGGGTCAACAAAAAGCTGGCACCAAGGGTAACCCCGCTTTCTTCGGGGCACTTTTCCCCCCAGCCCGCGCCCGGCTGTTCCCTAAGCATTGCCTGGGGCTAGGACAGGAGCTAAACCAAGCGCCCCATCTCCGCGGGGCTCCGGGCGCCTCCCCCTCCTCAGCCCCCTCCCGCCGACCAGCGCCGCAGCGCCAGCCCGCATGCGCACACCTCCCTCCTCGCCGAAATCTGCCTCCGCAAGGCGGCTCCCCCCTAGCAACAGCGCTGACCTCACCGCGCGCCAATCAGCGCCGAGCAGCACGCGAATCTTCCAGAGCTTTCCTTAGGGCCGCGCCCTCCTCGCCCTCTCTAGCTTCCCCCCGGATCAACCAATCAACACCCGCTCTTCTTACTGCTGCGCCAACCAATGCCGAACTTCTCGGTGTTTCTACGAGCCGCTTCACCGGACCTTCGGATCCATCCGCGCCCCCAGAACTTTCCAGACTTTTAAGGGTCTGAGGTCCCACCCTGAGACTCCAGGACCCCTTTGCCCCCGGGAGAGAGATTGGAGGGAGAGAAAGGCGAGTATTTTTCACAGCAGCGGTCTTTTACTCGGGACTACTTTGGGAAGCGGATGGACACGTCATTTTACGAGGGCGGGGCCTGTGTGCGCGGAACCGCATAAATGCGGGTGGGTCTGCGTCACGCAGCAGATTACAGCTGCCGCGGAACAGGGGGCTGCTATTGACGAGCAACGTTCAGGGCCGGAGACGTGAGTTGAGCGGGGGGGG